AACTACCGGCGAAACACGTACTATTAAATCTCACTTGACTTGTGACACTAAAACCTTATCTACTTGATTCAATGTAACCGCTGTAACTTACAATACATAGGAGAAACTAAAGGACGTTTAAAAAACCGTTATAATGAACACCGCCGTACCATTAATAAACCTAACTCTAAATCTAAACCTACTACAGTCGCAGAACACTTCCTTTCCTCTCCCAACCACTCTGCCTACGACATGGAGCTTATCGCCATCAAAAAAGTGTTTTCCAAGAGGGACTCGATACGCAAGGCCAGGGAAGCTTTTTTAATTTCAAGAGGCAATACTATTTATCCCGATGGCCTTAACGTTCGCGAAGAAATGTATTAATGTTTTTCTTTCTACTATTCTTACTTCTAGTTATTCAATTTACCCCACTTTACTTCTATTTTTATTTACTATTTCTATTTTTAATTATTATCTCAATGTCAATCAAATTAGTTTTACATCATACAGCTGTCTATGTCAATTCCCACTGCACCTGAAGAAGGGTGGTTTGGCCAGCCGAAATATAGTGCTCCGTTTTAAAACTTATCTACGTTGTATCGGTCTTGCCTCTATATTTATATTTATTTTTGGTCTTGGAAATGACACCAGAAGAGTCTCGTTACTTTTTCATAGACCTCTTGGACAGCAAGAGGCATAATTATTTCATCGCTGGGTCATTTCTGTTCTGATGATTCGCCTTGACCGATCGATCGCAGACAAATGAAAGTACCTGGTAATTGTGACATGGCGTGACCCTACCATTGAGCTCTAAAAAGCGGTGCATGTGCGCATTGTTGTGTCAGGGTTGTTCAAGCCCTTGATCCAATTCAAAATTCTCTTATAATTTCAGAATATGTATCCAGCTGTTTGCCGTTTAATTTCCTTACTCATTATTTCAGGTACGCCAATCATTTGAACCATGTACGAAATCTGATCGGCTTGCGATTTGTACGGCCGTGAAATCCTTCGAGGATCTATGGAACAACTTACCCATGTACTTAAAGAGCAAACCGAACACTGTTTCTTTTAAATCTGCTCTTACAGCAAAATAAGTTTGTTATTATTAGTTTGTAGGTACACATCAGCTTTTTAGCTGCCTTTTATCGACCCACGTGACAAATAAAGTATGTATGTATGTATGTATCACGCTCTCGCCTCGAGGGAAACCCTTGCATCCCGCATGCATCTGGTATGCACGCATGGGTTAACGCCTCATTAACATAAATAAATCATTAAAATTCATCAACGTAAGTACTTATTTTACGGCCCTCGTAGGTGTGCATATCTGGCATCAGATATCGTGGACAACTTCGACGATCTAGAGAATTATGGCGAATGAAAACTCGTTCCTTGAAAGCTTTGAGTCTTTGGCGGTTGGAAGTGACTGGATTAAACCAGAGGAACCTGATCCAATTAATGTTCCGATTTTCGCTTCTTCCACTTTCAAGACTTCATCCGTTGATCACGCGGAAGAACTGGCATTGGGAAAGGTGAGAGTTCTAACTTTGACAGTATCCTCTCCACCAGTTGAGCGCTGTACATCGTTAAAAAAAAGTATATATGTATTTTTATAAGTACAAGTTGACGTGGAAAATTTGGAAACATGAGATTGTCTACTATCGAAACTTTGGGATTCCTCTAAATTTCTCATGGTTCGACTGATAGAGAAAGTTCTAGTAGGAATTAATTTTCATCGTAATATTCTGTTTAATAATTTTGACCGTATTCCAATTTTAACTTTACACCCAAGCCCGCCAAGTGAACGCGCGAGAAATCAGCTGATCAAACTGCGTTAGCCACGTCGATTTTCTCGACTGTGATATACAGCCTTAGGCTCCACGTACGATTTTCAGTAGCTCTGTTGAAAGTATGCTAAGTATTCCTTGCTGTTTAATCTCCGTAGAGATCTATCTGTGTTTGTGTAAGGCTAAGATAACAACAACAAAAAAAAATCATGAAAAGCAGCCATATTTGTTTTCCGC